CAAGATAAGGCAAAGGTAATCATGCAATCCTAAATACAGTAATAGAGGCTGCTGGGGCATACTTAAGAAAACAGATGTGTTCCACTATAATTTATGGACATCATCAAAGTCCAGAAGGCCAAGGGCTAGCCTCGCCTATGTGCAAACTGCTAATTCAGACACAGGCAGGAAACAGCTGGTCTTCTTACTAAGGCATGCTTCCTTGTACAAGTCTAACAGCCTAGTGACTACGTGAAACTGGGGAAAAGTCACCAAAATATACCAGGAATGGGGAATACATGACTCACCACATATATGCTAGATGGGGTTGATGTTAATTGTAATCTCAACTGCATTTGGGTGTCATTTGTTTTCAAGGCGCAACCTATACAGTGTGATTCTGAAGAAATGTTATTCCAACTGGTGATTGCATTGGCCTAATATCACACAAACATGATTCGACTTTCCTCTCACCCCTCAGTGCCCACAACATACTCAGGGAAATTTACCTGCCTTCTGGAACAGATTTTGAACCCCCTTATCCTGATTTTGACGCTTCCACACAGTCCTATATCACAGAATATCAAGGCAAAATCCACCAAAATCTGCTTTGAACTGGGTTATCTGAGTCCGCACTACCATATATTCTAGTTCAAAGCAGATAATGTGGGATTTTCTGCCTTGATATTCTGGGATATAGGACTGTGTGGAAGGGCCCTAGGAGAACCTGTTGCAGTTGGTTTTGGCCTGACCCTACTGGGAAGGTTAATAAATACTCTTCTCTCACCCATTCATCCATCCTCACTGAAATAATTGATTGCAAACTACTTTTACACTTTGGATTCATTTTGCAGCAATTAAAGCAAGTCAATGACAATATGGGGAAATGGGAGGGGAGAGATAAACACTAGGGGAGTTTGAAAGCAGAAGGAAAATGTTGAGGACAGAAGAATAATCAGGATTATTCCTGCCAAATTGAAGCACTTGGAAGGTATGAGAACTGGGTGATCTTGGATCAATTGTTTTCTCTCTGCCTCACCTTCCTCATGTGATGCATGTGCCCCACTTTGAACTGTTTGGAAGAATAGTGGGCTATAAATGTAATGTAATAAACAAGACATCAGTGGTCTTTTTGGCTGGAAGTTCAAATTCGACACACATCTGGAGTGCACTGAGGAAGGCTGACAAAAGGGTTTTTTTAATAACCACACATTCAGTAATATTTCTCCACTTTTTGAGAATCAGTGTGCAATGTGCCTCTTGGGAGACTAAAGGCACAAATGAACAGGATTTTCTAGTAGCAGACGGAACTAGTAGCAAAATCCTAGTAAACGTTGATAAATCTCTTTCCTGCTCCGCAATCTCTAGACTTTACACAAAACCAACTCCAATAAGAATGATGGAATTTCTCACTTTCTTTCTTCCTCTATTGCTGTCTCCTCTTACTCCAAATACTTTAATAGAGGGACTAGGTACTCTTTTTCTCTCTCTCCTCTAGGATCTTCTGCCAAAGGGTTGCTTAATGTTTGTTGGCAAATGTATTTGAGACAGAAAGGAAGCAAAGGGCCAGAAACACCAGCCCAGAAAGTAGCAGGCAATTCCTGCCTGCTCACAATTTTTAATGCAGAAACACCAGCAAAGCCAAATCATAGCCAGAGCTTGTCTACATGGGCTTAATAACCCATACTCACAGTGTAATAGCTGCTGGCTGTCTTCATGTTATCCTTGAACTTCCAGTAGTTATTGTGGGGTAAACCAGGTTAAAAGTTGTGGGATGCTCTAGAATTTAGCCAATGCTTTAGGGTTTGACTGGGTCCAATTCAGATCAGTCCACTGTTCATACTATCCACTGCTTCATTGCCACAAGGAACAGGAAACAGATTGGGCATGTGGTGCTGCCATCTCTGATGCCAGATGGCTGCAGAAGTCCATGAGAGCTCCTGGTCATCAAAGGTGCCCCATGCTGACATCAACAGAGGTGCCTGCACAACCAGGGAGGGGAGTTGGGATAAGCTTCCTCTGAAGATCTCAAATTTCTGACAGACTCCTATGGGAGGAGTCAACATATGTACTATCAGGAGTTTCTGGAGTTAGATTTGGAAACTTTCTGCTGTACATGCAGTTGCCCTGTACATTGAACTATAGCTACAGACTGGACTATCTTCCTGGCAGTGAAATGTTCCCAGGCTCTGGATGTCCTTGGCTGGACAGGAAGGGGATATAAAAGACTTCCTGTCTGGGCTGAGACCTTGACTAACTCAGATTCTGCTGTATTTTGGTATGTTTTTCAGCTCTGGCTCAATGCTTTTGGTTTTCCTGACTTCAGGTTTCCAGGATCCCAGCTTATGTCTAACAGCTGCTGCAGCCCTGACAAAAACTGCTCACAAATGTCAGGGAATCATCTTTATTTATTTTTATTTATTTACTGTCCTTGTATACCGCCGTTTCTCAGCCTAACTGGTGACTCAACGCGGTTTACAACAAAATATACAGTACACAGTATACAATTAAAACCATAAAAAACATAATACACAATATTACACGTAAATCACAATCCAATACATCTCCTAACTAAAATCGTGGTCCAATTGCATCATCCATATTACCAATCCGTAGTCGACACATTCATTGCACCGAATTAACCAAATGCCTGCTTGAACATCCAAGTTTTTAGTCTTCTTCGGAATACCATCAGCGAGGAGGCTGATCTTACCTCCATGGGAAGGGCGTTCCAGAGCCGAGGGGCCACCACAGAAAAGGCCCTGTCTCTCGTCCCCGCCAGCCGCACCTGTGAAGCAGGCGGGATAGAGAGCAGGGCCTCCCCAGAAGATCTTAGGGTCCTGGCGGGCTGATAGGCAGAGATACGTTCGGATAGGTAACTTGGGCCAGAACCGTTTAGGGCTTTAAAGGCCAACGCCAGCACTTTGAATTGAGCCCGGTAGCAAATCGGCAGCCAGTGGAGCTGGTGCAGCAGAGGAGTTGTATGCTCCCTGCGCTCCGCTCCAGTTAGTATCATGGCTGCCGACCGTTGGACTAATTGGAGCTTCCGAGCCGTCTTCAAAGGCAACCCCACGTAGAGAGCGTTGCAGTAGTCTAAACGGGATGTAACCAGAGCGTGGACTACCGTGGCCAAGTCAGACTTCCCAAGGTACGGGCGCAGTTGGCGCACAAGTTTTAACTGTGCGAATGCTCCCCTGGTCACCGCCGAAACCTGGGGTTCCAGGCTCAGCGATGAGTCCAGGATCACAGCCAAACTGCGAACCTGCGTCTTCAGGGGGAGTGCGACCCCATCCAACACAGGCTGTAACCCTATACCCTGTTCGGCCTTGCGACTGACCAGGAGTACCTCTGTCTTGTCTGGATTCAATTTCAATTTGTTCGCCCCCATCCAGACCGTCACAGCGGCCAAGCACCGGTTCAGGACCTCGACAGCCTCCTTAGTGACAGGTGGGAAGGAGTGACAGAGTTGAACATCATCTGCGTACAAATGACATCGCACCCCGAAACTCCGGATGATCTCACCCAGCGGCTTCATGTAGATGTTGAACAACATGGGAGACAATATTGAACCCTGAGGAACCCCACAAGACAAAGGTTGTGGGGTTGAACAGGAGTCTCCCAGTAACACCTTCTGAGACCGACCCCCGAGGAATGAGCGGAGCCACTGCAGAACAGTACCTCCAAGACCCATCCCCGCGAGGCGTCCCAGAAGGATACCGTGGTCGACGGTATCGAAGGCCGCTGAGAGGTCCAGCAGCACCAACAGGGACACACTCCCCCTGTCGAGCTCCCGGCGCAGATCATCGACTAAGGCGACCAAAGCTGTCTCGGTACCATGCCCCGGCCTAAAGCCAGACTGTGCCAGGTCCAGATAATCCGTGTCTACCAAGAATGCCTGGAGTTGTGAGGCCACCACACGTTCCAGGACTTTGCCCAAGAAGGGGAGATTGGAAACAGGCCGATAGTTGACGAATTGAGTGGGGTCCAGTGATGGTTTTTTCAACAGCGGTTTTATCACAGCTTGCTTTAAGCTGGCTGGAATTTTGCCTTCCCGAAGGGAGGCATTAACCACCACCTTCACCCACTCGGCCAATCCCCCTCTGGCCTCCTTTAGAAGCCAGGATGGGCAGGGGTCTAGGATGCATGTGGTAGCTCTCATTCCTCCAAGCACCTTGTCCACATCCTCGGATTGAACCAATTGAAATGAATCCATCAAAACCGGACAAGCAGATGCTCGTGTTACATCCTCAGAGACTGCCGTTAATATGGTATCCAGACCAGAGCGGATCAAAGCGACTTTGTCTGCAAAGAACTGAGCAAAGGCTTCACAGCGAGCTGCCGAGTCATCAGGGCACCCATCCTGCATGGTGGGCTTTAACAGGCCTCTGACAACTCGGAACAGTTCAGCCGGACGGTTCTTTGCAGACGCAATAGTGGCCGCAAAGAAGGTCTTCTTTGCGGCTTTTATTGCCGCGGCGTATGCCCTTAAAAAGGACACAAACCGTGTTCGATTTGGCTCGCTCGGATCCGAACCATATCTAGCATATCACAACTTCAGCTTTCTCATGTGGATGACTGACAGATTTTTTTAGCCCAAAATGTGCCAGGGAAGAGCACTCTATTTGTTCCATTGACTAATAGAAAACTCACTGTGAACCAGAACCAATAGCTAATATACTGGCACGAGTCCATGGGCATGACCTTCAGTAGCACTGATCTAGCAGATACAGACCAAGAATCTTATTGTGCAGGCAGCATGGCATTTTAAAGTAATATTTATGTGTTCAGATGAAGACCCACTCCTGGCTTTTGGACACACATTGTAGTCAAACGGGCACAATTAAGGATTTTACTGCATGTGAGGGGATAGAAGCAGTTTCCAATCATGACAACTGGCAAACTGACGTCAAGCAATGGTAACCCTGTGACTGAGTGAAGCTACACTTCTGGGTCAGTGGTATAATCTTGCTCTCCTCCTGTGCTGCTCCCAACTTGATTTTCTCTTTTGTTTTGATTTTAAGGCACTCCTTTAGATTTTCTTTATTGGGGAACATTGGGTGCCATCACAGAAGCCAAGAGACCTTGAACTTTATTGCATAGAGGTAAGTCCCAGGGCCCTTGCATGCTCAGAGGCTATTGATCATCTTTGCTTATCAATAACCCCTGATGGCTTCAACACTGGGGGTAGCAATAAGTATTGCATGCCGTTGTACAATAGGGGCTGTAACCAAAGGTGACATTCCTGCTACTGTGCTGGGTTGAAACTTCCATGCAATAAAGACTTTAATCAATGGATCATGTAATTCCTACTCCTGTATCAATGCCTCCTGCAAGCCCCTAAAAAGAAAATAAAACCAAAGACATGTCTTCCGCATTCCTAGATCAAATGTGTATATTTGAAAGTGATTTTTCTAAACTTTAAGAAGAATTTTTTACATTGTTCTTCCTTTTCATTCATATAATTTTTCAGTGTCAGGCACAGCCCAAATAATAACCAGGTCTAAAATGATAATGAGCAGAAGTTGGAAGTAACAGAATTAAGATTCCAGTAACAAATAAATAATGTTTAGCACTTTCCAGTCACAACGTGCATTCAGTAAGAAAATCAGAGGCTTAAGTAAATTCCTCCCAGAGGTTGGAAAAATAACTGTTTGGACTTCAACACCAGAATCCCCGAGCAAGTAGAAATTCTGGAATTTGAGCTCTAATCTGTCCTTTAGAACTTGATAAAAGTTAACAATATTACCCTGAATGTGTTTATTGGAGTGAGTCCTACTGTGTTCAATGGGGCTTATACCCTTTTCTGTTTAAATTCGCTTTCGGTGGATCATGCCCTTCTCACTTTTATTTTATTCTGGAAGAGCACAGAAAGGTAAGTGTGGGGAAGCAAAAGAATTTGAGGAAAGGCACTGGCGCGATCCAAGCAAAACAGCTTCCTATGTGTGCCAGAATCCAAACTGTGTCTGCTACAATGTGGTTTTGGATGCTAAGCTCTTTGTGCTTCAGAGCTTACTGTCCACTGATGGGCAACCTTTCTCAAGGGTGTGGTTTGCAGAGAGTTCTGAGAAACTCAGCTGGAATATGCTGTTTGGAACACAGCATCGATTCTGTATTTTTGTTGGCAAAACAAAGCGGTTTCACTTTTTTGGCACCACTTAAAGGGGCCCAGTAGGCAAGAGCATGGAAAGCTGGCAGGTTGAGAAGCAAGATTCAGTGGTCTTGGAAAAAGAACAGGAATAATGCAGCTGAACTGACTGAATAATGCTTGGGAATATATATATATTAAAAATCCATGTACTTCATTAGCTCCAAAACTATATTTGACCACAGCATGCCAGATCGTTAGCTGCAAATGATGTGCTTCCCAACAGGTTTCTTGAGTTTTGAAGAGTTTATGTCTTAGGGCAGCTTCCCTCAACATGGAGTTTTCCAGATGTGCTGGAGTACAGCTGCCAGGAGCCCCCATGTTCTTGTTGTTATAGGGTAACTCATCTGGAAGGCACAAGTTGGGAAAAGCTATAATAAAATCATGCAATGATAGAATCTTAGAGTTGGAAGGGATGCTGAGAGCCATCTTGCCAAAATCCCTGCAATGCAGGAAAACACGATCAAAGCACTCCTAAAAAATGCCTATCCAACCTTTGTTTAACAGCCTCCTAAAGCACTCCTAAAAAATGCCTATCCAACCTTTGTTTAACAACCTCCTAAAGAGAGTCCATGACTCTCTGAAGCAGTCTATTCCACTGCTAAATAGCTATACCGTAAAGAAGTTCTTCCTAATGTTTAGGTGGAATCTCTTTTCTTGTAATTTGAATCTTTTCGTTGGGGTTCTAGTTTCTGACATAGAAGAAAAATAGTTTAAGCCATCTTCAACATGAGGCCCCTTCAAATGTTTAAAGATGGTTATCATGTCACCTCACAGTCTCCTCTGCTCCAAATTCCTTCAATCATTCCTCATAATGCTAGATTTCCAGACTTTTGATTGTCTTAGTTAATTATTTTCTGGACCCATCCCTACTTGTCCTTATTTTTCTTGAACTTTAGAGGCCGGAATTGAAAAAAAATGATGAGAGCAGAATAAAGTGGTACTATTCTTTCTTTTGGTCTGGACACTATTCTCTGGGCCCTACTATACAGGACCTAAAATATGGGAGAAACTGGGATAAAAGGTGAGGTGGCTAGATCACTCTTGACAAGAATGCAAGCTAAATCACATCATTGGCTGGAAAACAAGGGTTTAAAAGTGCACTTAAAATCTGAGATCAGCTGAAAAATGTGCATATTTATATCCCTGCATTCAAGAAAAACACGAGACTGTGTCCCTATATGCTGGTGTAGACTTCTCCAATGCATGTCCACATTTTAAAATCCCGAAACAGCTGCTGAGGACTGTAAACAGATGGAGCCACAGACACACAGGTGGCGAAATAGAAGCAACCATTCCTTTGTTCTCATATTTATGAAATTAAACAGACCTTGAATTTACACAGTGGGCACCAGCATGGCAGGCAAATGACCCCAAAGGGAAGCAGGGTTCAAGAGGGAAAAAGTAAAGTCAACAGGAGGATGAGGAGAGATAATGACAGAAATCTGCTTGTGTGCACCTTCACATATCCACATCAGCACTTATGAGGTTCAGCATATCTCGGAGAGTTAATTTAAAAAAGAAAAGAAAACTTCTGGCAGATGTCCTGCATCCATTTTGCAGATTTCTAAAATCTTCTGCAAACAAATGTTTCAGGATGCCAGGGGACTATTTGCTGGGACTGGCAGTTCCATATTTGAACTTATTTCAGGCATCGTGGTTTTTTGCCCCACTCCTTTGGCCTGCATTATGAAGCTGTTTGGAAGGGCCCTCTGATGCATCCTAGGCTTTTTTGATTCTCACATTACATCACACTATTAACTCATGTTTAGCCTCTAGTTCACGAAGGCCTCTAGATACCTTTCACTTAGGTTCCCTTTAAGCCAGATGTCATATAGCCTAGATTTCTGTGTATAATGTTCCTGTCTATATAGTACTACCTTACATTTATTCCTGTTAAAATTCATTTTGTTAGTTTTGGCCAGGCTCTCCAAACTGTCAATATAATTTTGAATCCTGATCCTGTCCTCTGCGGTATTACCTACTCCTACCCACCCAATTTGTGTCATCTGCAGATTTGATAAGCATGCCCTCTAAACCTTCATCCCAGCCATTAATAAAGATGTTAACACCAACCTGAGCCATTCCACCAGCCACTTCTCTCCAGGGTGAAGAGCAAGCACTCTCTCGGGGTTGGGTCAGTCAACCAATTGCACATACATCTAATTGTAGCACTGTAGAATCAGAACAGTAGAAGTAGCAGAGAGGCAGAAGGAAAGGTGGCAGAAATAGCTGGAACAGAATAAAGCATACAAACTCAGACTGGTTACTGAACCATAGCAGGAAAGGGGATCATTAACAGATTATTCCCAACATGAAAACAATGTATTTCCAAATGACTCTATAGCACAACACCGGGAAAGCTAAAATATTGCAAAATACAGCTGAGGCAAGGTGGGATTAATCCATCACTATAGCAGTATAACAGTGTTATGTGATAAACACTTGACTGTTTAATGATCTGTTTAAAAGTTAGTTTAATTATTCTGGAGCACATTTCTTTTACTCCCTAATATGTTCCCAAATGCAGTTCTGGGACATTAGGAATGTCTATCTAGGACCTTATCTACCCTGGCTAGTTAATCTGGGATCAGTCCAGAGCAGAAATCATAAAAAGGGATGGCAGTGGTAGCCCATATGTACATCCGCTGGTCCAAATCAGACCCAATCCTGCTGTCCACACTGTGTTGAAATGCAGGAGCAAAACTTGTTTACCCAGTGACAACTACAAGAAGTTGCAGAACATCATGGGGTCAGCCAGGAGTGACCAAACAGTGGGCACTAGTTATTAAGCCCATATAAATGAGCCCTGAGTCCTTCTGACTATATACAGGAAGATAACACATGTTGAGTGGCTTTTTTCTCTCCGTCAGCCATCAGCATCCATATCCCAAAGGTGCCAACAAGATTCAATCCGGAGTTACAACACACAACCTGGTACTAAAAGTTGAATCTAATAGATCAGGAGCAAAGGGTGTGGTTCTGGGTACTGCATGCAGCCCCAAAGACTAGTTTTCAGCCTTACAGTCTCTCCGCATTACACAGATATTCCAGTGGAGAAAGAACAAAAAGGAATTATTTGCCTCTGCTAGATGCCCCTGTACTGTTTGGCATTTTAAAAATCACCTGTTTTTCAAAAGCAGACATGGACACAGGCTACTTTGGGGGTGCTTCTCTCCATCCATTTTTTGGAGTATTTTTGGTAGTCCATGCAAACTCCAGAGAGTCTTGGGAGCAGAAAAGCAACCCCAAGTTCTGCACTTGCCTGCCTCTGTCTTATACTGTACATTCTGCATTATGTAGGGAGAAACGGTCTCAGGGCAATGTCTTAGACCATGTAGACAGAGCCAGACCATCCATACAGACAGTCAGACTCTGTGTTACCTAGAAAAAAAACCATAAGTGTATATTGGCCTTTGGTACCTCTCTCATATAAAGACAGCCAGATGGCTACATCTGCAAATGTTTTGGGACAATTGAGCTGAGGCATACGCTTCTGGGTTCCTCCCTCCCCCCTTCCCCATTTCCTGAGTTCTTACTGGAACTGTGTTGGATATGGATTAATCATTCCATTCTATTGCCACTTGAAGCCATGGAATACTGCATGCTGGAGACCACAGGACTCAAACCAGCCAGCAATGAAAATGAGCTGGGAAGGAGCAGGCTAAGAGGGAACAGAAATAGCAACTGGGACAATGTCAGTGTTGTACAAACTCATAAGCAATTTCTGGGATTTGTCTCAGAGGAAAGCAGCATCAGGCATGCTCCTGGCACAGTTTAAATTTGGTTATCTTTGCAGTCCCACACCAGAAATAAATTTATAGGGGCTTTATGGATTTGTGTTGGAATACCACAAGCTATTGTATCACCAGTACTTTCTGGAACCTGCTGGTTTTGGTTTTCAATGAACAAGTTCAGTGCCAAGTCCAGTGTCAAGTTCTTTTTCCGATCATTGTA